TCATCAGCCAATGCAGCACAAGTTCAACCCACAGCCAGGGAGCTGACCCACACAGTGCAGCAGACCTCTCCCGTTTCACCCACTGCTCCCCTCCACAGTGTATTTCAGTAGATCTGTCTGTTCTGTGCCCCACTCTGTCTCAGGTGAATCCTCTCACCCCCCCACATCTCTGACCTAAACCACAGTTCTTGTATGCAAAAATAAACAAATCTTTAAAAATATGTACATAGTGCTTAAAGTAATTTCATCTCTTCTTTTGACTTTATTTTACATGTGACGTATTGTATTATTTCATTAAGATTTTATTTTATTTATGCATACAAAAACTAGGATACAGACCAGAGGTATGGGGCGGTAAGAAAATTCACCAGAGACAGAGTGGGGAGCAGAACAGGCAGATCGATGAAATACACTGCTGAGGGGAGCAGTGGCGGGTCAGAAGAGGTCTGCTGTGCCATGTGGGTCACCTCGGGGGAGGGATCAACTCTCACTGAAGCAGCTGCAGCCAGCTTGCAGTTTGGGGTATTTTAAGGTGACTACTAGGAAATTCAGTTATCTAGGCAGCTTCATGCTATTCTATTAGATAGTGCTCTAATAGAAGCCCAGCCAGCTGTGGCTTCTGCAGAAGGGGTTCGGTAAGGTAACTATATTTTCTTTAGCTAAAGAGTAAAAAGGTTTGTGCCTTCGTTTCTGGGTGGCACTATGCCCTTAGAAAGCCCCTTCCCCCTCTATGCTGAAGATGGCTCACCCCCGCTGGAGCCCACCTGCACATCTCTGCCAGCCCTCTCACCTACCTTGTGAGGGCCATTGAGTTAGCTTGGGAGTCTCAGTAAGGGTGTGTCCACATCACTAGCCACACAGGTCACTTTCCCTTGAAACTATAGAACAAGTGTAGCTAAAACCTGCCAGCTGTTACTACCTGTGCAAATGGCCAGACTGTTCCCCCAAGGGGCTTAGCTGCTGCCCTCCCTTCCCTTCCCCCCCACATTGCCACCCATCCCTCCCTGGAATTCATGTTTTTCTCTTTCCAGGACTTGACCCCACCTTCCATGATAGGCTCCAAGGTTTACAAGGATCACACTCAGGGGATGAGGAGGCAAAGCTAATTCAGAAACTTCAAAACAGAAAGATCTCAAATTCTGGAGGAAGTTACCAAACACCTGATCAATGCAAATGACTCTCAAGACACAGAGGAATTAGAAGCTCGGCACCCTGTCTTTTTGGGGCCCTCCCTGGTGGCACAGTGGGTTAAAGCACAAGCACTACAAGCTAGCCAAAGACACTTTACCACAAGTTTGATCCCGAGTCAGGAAGGTGACCCACATGGCGCAGCAGATCTCTCCTGTCTCACCCCTGCTCCCCTCAGCAGTGTATTTCAGTCAGTCTGCCTCTTCTGCTCCCCACTCTGTCTCTGGTGACTCCTCTCACAGTCCCTGTAACCCAGTTCTGAATGCATTAAAAAAAATAAATCATATATATATATATATATATATAAGATTTTTAAAACAAATAAACACATTTTTTTAAACAAATAAACGCCATATTGAGTCCACGCAAAGACTCAACACTGGCCCACTAGTAGAGGCTCTGGAGGTGGGTTCCAGTGGCTTCTCCACTGATCTGGGTCTCAATTTTCTCGCCTGTAACCATGGGGACAATTCCATCTACCTCAAAGAGTTGTTGAAAAGGTTAAATTAAATAATGGATCTTTTTAAAAGCGCCTTGTACATGATAGGTAGGTATTTAATAGAGTCGGACTCCTCACTCTTTCCAACGCAATTAGCAAAGAAGCTATTTCAAAAATCAAGGAGAACTGAAAATAAATTTTCTATACTCTGTTTAAAATCTGAATCTTAGTGCCTGGTACAATTTCAAAATCTGGTATGGAACTCCACAAAGGCAGGGACTCCCTGTGCAGCCCTAGGCAGTGTCTGACTAATGGTAAATACATTGGAATGAATGGATAAAAATTGAATTTAATGGAAGCAGGGGCTGACATTTGCAAGTGCTGGAAAATAAGAACAGAAAAACTGGAAAGACCCAAGACCAGAATGCCAAGAGCTGAAGGTGGGGGTAGAAGGAATAAACAGTCATTAACCCAGTCCAGGAATTAAGATCCTTGGGTGCTAAAGCCTCGATCACAAAGCACAGCAACCCAAGCAGGTATCAGGCTACTGTAGAGGGTGTCAGGAGCACAGACCAGGAGGTGAAGAAAGCTGGCCCCTGTCAAATTCCACTTAGTTTACTCAAAGTCAACAACAAACAAACCCCTCCACGCAAGCCCCTCCCAGAGAGAAGGCTGTTATCAGTACAGTACACTGACAGGGCCCACCTGTGCCTACGAAGGTGCTCCTTTTTGCCAACTCTCTCCCTCCTTCCTGCTCAGGTGACCTGCACCCTGTGTCTCTCCACTGACCTCAGTCAGCAGAGGCGGCTCTCCTCAGGCCCCTCCACCCCCCTGCGACCATCAGGCCTCTCAGCAAACCTGACCCTTCAGGGCAACCTGCCTTTGTGCAAGAGTCCTTTTTCTTCTGTCCTTTCCCCTAATTAACCTGCTCTTCTCAATATAACTAACTTTTGTCTCGTGGAGAAACTCACCTGGAAAACTCATCACGTGCTGCTGGAGGGGAGCGCTGGTGAAACCAGAGCGAACCCAAAGAATCCGCTCTCCAAACCCATCAACTTCACAAGCATCATTAGGAGCATAGACATATTAGATGGGAAACTGCCAGGATGCAGGGTTGTGTTGATGTGAAATTTACAGCCCATGGAGAATTATTCTGCGGAATGACATTTAAAACCTATTTTGACAGTTTTTTTCTTTCTTTCTAAGCAACAAAGCTCAAGGTGCTCTGTCAATATTTCTCCTTCATTCAGCCATGTATTAGTTGGAAAGGTAGGCTAAACAACCAGTCATCTCTATGGGAGGAAGCAAAAATATTCAGTTTTTCATAACAGCATGGTGTATGAAACCTAAAAGATCAGACTAAATAGCTGATAAAAATATGTGCATTCAAATGTAAAATTCTTAGCATTTCCTGACAGTGGGGAGTTGGGGAGAGGGAGAAATGAGTAACTATTCTTATCAAGTATTAAAGTGATTTCTGGTTAAGTTCCCTCATGGATGTATGGGGGTGAGAGTGGGGAGTTGGGAGGGCAAGTGCCTAAAACCCTACTGATTTAAGCTTCATGGTTGACCCAGATAATGTTGGATTCACTAATCTCACCAAAAACACCTTGCATTGTCCGACCTCAACAGATCACCTGAGGGTTTTCACCAGTTGGCTCTCCAGCCTGCCCCAAACAATGGGTGACTGTGTCCCAATCCTGTTCTGCTACTAATAAGAAAAATTTAGCCCTCTGGAGGCTTGACAGCTACTGCCTTTCACACTGCCCACCCCCCACCCACCAGCTTTATTCATCTAAAAAGGAAGACTCCAACGATGTAAGCAGACCCACCAGCAGACCCACCGGATGGCAATGGGAAGTTAAAACCCACAGCCCAGTTACAATAACATCATTTTAGAGGCGAGAGCTTGACAAATGTCCTACATAATTCATCTCCAACTGTTAAATCAATAGAATCTTTAGAACCACAATAGAATCTTTAGAACCAAACCCAGGGTGAAAGAAAACTAGGTTCAGGATTTTATGTGGCTCATTTATGTGTAAAAAGAAGACCTCTCTGGGGCCCTCCCTGCTGGCACAACAGGCTAAAGAACAGAACTATGAAGCTCTCTGCAGCCACTGCAGCATGAGTTCCACCCTTGCCAGGGAGCTGACCCACATGGCACAGCAGACCTCTCCTGTCTTGCCTGCTGCTCCCCTCAGCAGTATATTTCAGTAGATCTGCCTGTTCTGCTCCCCACTCTATCTCTGGTGAATCCTCTCACCCCATACCTCTGGCCTATACCCCAGCTCTTGAATGCATAAACAAATAAATCTTTAATAATAATAGAAAAGACCACTCTGTTTGTTTTTGTTTATTTACACCACTCCCCAAGTAGCAGGACTTAAACTGGCCTGGGAAAACTAGCTCAGGTTAACTTACTGATGGTAAAGGTGAACAAAAGGGAAATTTGCCTTTACAGAGTTTTTCAAAAGTGCTGACCTAAATGCAAATAAGAGAAAAAATGGCCTACAAGGACTAAGGGTTACTGGTTGTTTGTTAAACAGGTGCTTGGGAAGAAGAGAGAATGCAGGTAGTTCAGATAAAGAAGGAGCCCATAAACATTTGCCTTAAATATTTGGGGAAGCCGATCAGATTCATAACACTTCCAAATTGCTGGGCATAACCACTTTGAGATGCAGAGACTTTGAGATTCACTTCCCAAGAAGACATAAATGACACAATTAAGACATGAGCTTTCCAGGTCTTCCCAAGGTTTCTAGAGCTTGAAAATCTAGTGCAAGATTTCCACTCCATCAAGCAGGACTTGGCTCTAAAGCCAGGGAAGTAGTTTGGCACTAAGCATCCCCACTGTGTCCTGGCTTCTATGTGTAAAAGAAGGTAAGAAGTAGTGCCAGACACCAAGGCCCAGCTCTGCCCTTCCACGGAGCAGGAGAGGCCGCATTCTAGGAAATGTGGTTCAGTCTGGCTCAAAACACCTGCCAAATTCTGATGACACAGATAGTCAGCCCCAGGAATTTCTCCCTAAGAAAGAAGCTGGTGGACTGATAAATTTCAGGAAAGAGGTGAGAAAAAAACAGCCAATACTCCAGAAGCATGCTTTCTGCTGGGGGAGGAGAAATTGTGGGGGGAAGAAATATCCCCCTTTTTGCTTCTCTGCCTGCCCTTCCCTGACACAGTGTCACCTCTCCCAATCACTCATCACTGTTAGTCACATCTGCCAGAGTCACTCACAGTCACAAACAGTGTTGAAGTCAGAAAATGACAGCTGCCCAGCACCTGGTCAGGGACAGTTAGACAGTCTAACCCACTCAGACCCGCAGAGTTCAGATGCAGGTTCCCTTGAACATCCACGAATTCTTCTACCCACCTGATTGCCAAACACAGCCACGGAGCAGGCAGTGGAAACCTCATTGGCCCCGAACCAGACGGAAGCAATGCGGGAGGGCATGCCAAGGATGAAGACCTGGGCCACCGAGCAGATAACCTGGCCCAGCACAGTGACCGGAAAGAGATGCGGCTTCAGGCTGCCCAGCTTCACCCAGGCCCCCAGGCAGTTGAGAGCAGAGCCCGTGAGGGCAATGGTGCGCAGGCCAAACTTCTCCAGCAGCCAGGCCACCGGCAGGAGTAGCGGGATGTAGGTCAACATGTAGCACATGGACAGCCAGTCAATGGCGAATGCGCTGACCCCGTAGAAGTTCATGAAGATGTTGCTGATGGAGCTGTACTGGATCCACTGGAAGGCATTGCACAAGGAGTAGCAGCTAAACACCAGGACGATCACCCACCGGCGCCTGCTCACCTTGATCACACCGAGGTCCTCAGAACAACTCTTGGGGGGCAAGTCGACCCCTTGGGCCAAAGTAACCGGGTGGGTGGAAGCGCTGGATCGCACAGACACACTGGGGTGGATGGAGACGATGGGGTTGATGGTGACGCTGGGGCGGGTGGAGACGCTGGGGTTCATGGTGACGCTGGGGCGGGTGTTGACGCTGGGGTCCAGTCCCAGGGAGGACTCCTGCGCGGGGCTGCCATCGTGCTCCTGCCGGTTGGAACCTTCAATCACCATGACCACAGCCTCTCCTGGAGCCCTGGACAGGCGCCGAGGACTCCGGTAGTCTTAATGGACAGCGCCCTGTCACTTGCAACGCCCGGCCTCAGAGTATACACACCGGAGCCTGAGTAAAAGCCGCTAATGCTGCTCCTTTGCTCACGCCCAAGCTTGGGTAACCACTTTGCCCTAGGGTCTCTGTCCCCCAGCCGGCGGCAGACGCCTCAGCCTGGTCCTAGCCGCTGGTGCCTTGGGTCTCCCCAAAGCGCTCTGGCCACTTTCAGCCTCTCGGTCCTGGAAAGATTTCCCTCCCTGCACAACCACTACGCAGCCGGACTGCCGGACTCTGCTCGCCCTGGACTAAGTGTGGGGCCTCGCCCCCTTTGGGAGCACGTGACCGCCCCCGCCCCCCGTCCGCCCAGCTTCCCCCCGCCCTCCCCCCCACCCGGACTACTCCCTTCCCTCGCCTTTTCCAACTGGACTAGCAGTTGTTTCTAGCAGTTGTTTCGCCGCAGTTTGCGGGATGCATTCCTCCCCCACACCCCGGGCGTCATGGAAACCGTCCCGTTACCCCCCAACCCCTGCACTGACCTCAAATTCATTAGCTCCCTCCCTAGAGAACCCGTAATAAAATCCCCTCTGCCCTTCCCAGGTGACCCTCCACAGAGTCCTCAGCAACATTCCGCATCCCAAGAGCGGTGCATCGGTGTCAGCCACCTCCAAAGTGCCCGGGGCATCCAAGAGAAATTCCCGACTTTTCCCCTCTTGGCAGGGCTCCCCAAATGTTGCTGAACTTTCCGTATAAAGAGATAACTTAGATTTCCAAGTCGAGTTGTGCTTTTGGGGTAGAGAGGATTGCCGACAACTCAGTTTGCTCCTTGCTTTGAATGGGTTAGGCTGGGCTGTTATTTCCTGGTGGATCCTCCCACAGCTTCCTCGGTGAGGACCCCGGGGTGGAGAAGAAGAGTTAAGGCACCCTTAGGAAGCTGGAGGTTTTCTGGTGAATTCCCCAGCGCAGCACTGGCTGGGGCTGGGACTCGTCTCAGCGTCCACTTAGCTCTAGGCTGCCACCTGCTGGTCATAGCCCCTGGCAGAGGGCAAGGCGGTAGCTCCTCTGCTCAAGAAGTCAAGCCTGCAGGGCAGAAGAGCTGGTGTCCCCAGATCCACTTTGCTCCTGCAGAACCACAGATTCTCCCTGGGTTCAAACATAGGCTCAGCTGCTTCTAGTCTGTTTCCGGTTTTCTTCATCTGTAAGTTAAGGATAGTGAAATCATACTGTTAGCAGGCAGAATGAGGGGCACCCAAGACCCCCAAACCTGCTTCCTCTAAATGGGTTCTGCCATCTGCTGCATAAAGAAAAAATGTACTTGGTTGTGAGAACTTTAACAGGAAAGAACTATAATGCAACTACTGTGCAATAAAGAGGAAAACAAGAATATAAATAAAATAGTTTCCCCATGAAACACCCACAGTTACCCATTCCCTCGACAGTAAACACCCAGCCAAGGAGGGCTCCTAAGGCCAAAAACCTACCACAGGGCCCTCCCTGGTGGTGCAGCGGGTTAAAGCACAGCACTATGAAGCTAAAGCCACTTCAGCTTGATTCCCCGCCCTGGAGCTGACTCACATGGCCCGGCAGACCTCTCCTGACCCGCCCGCTGCTCCCCTCAGCAGTGTGCTTCACTATCTGCCTGTTCTGCTCCCCGCTCTGTCTCTGGTGAATCCTCTCACGGCCCCTGCACCTCTGGCCTCTACCCCAGTTCTGTATGCATGAATAAATAAATCTGAAACAAAAAAAAATCTACCACAAGTCGAAGGCACCTTTTGGTGGGGACCCAAAGGAATGGGGCCAGGCCAGTCTGGAACCAAAAAAAGCAAAAGCAAAATACAAGTCAAGATAAAGGCTGCCCGTGTCGGCCTCCCAGGGGTCTCTCATCCTCATCTCTGTCCCTTTCAAGAATCTCCTTCCATGCACCCCAAGTCCCTGGTCCAAGACTGACAGTTAAGTGCAGCTTCTTCTCTTTGTTCCACATGCCTCCTTCAAATCTTCTCCTTAGCCTTCTTCCTAAGCACTCTCCCCAGCCTTCTCCCAGTCTTTTGCTTCTTCTCAAAGCTGAGCTCCACCCTGGGGTGGGGCAGGGAACCTCCAACCTTCTCTATCTTTGGGGCTTACACAGATACAGCACCATGGGGATGTGTTGAGGCTTGAACGTGTTAATGCATGGAAGGACTGGGGAAATGCCTGGCAGGTGGCGAGCAGCCCGTGAGTATTGGTCATCCTGGCAGTTAGGAAGCTGGCTATGGTGCTAGCCTAGTTTCCTGCTTTATCTCTTTTAAGCATCACAAGAAATCTGCAATGTCACTGCTGCTCGCCTACCTTTTAGAGTTCAGAAAACTGTTCTCACAGAAGTAACTTCTTACTCCCAGCTGCCTTTAGGAGCCATCATTGTCATGCAAGCCGGTGCCCATTCAAGCCCCAGCCTGGAGACTCGAGCACAGTCTGCCAAGAGCCCCGTGGGAGACCCTCTGGGATGAGAACAGAGTCCTAGGCCCACTCCAGACTTTCTGAACAAGAAGCTGCTTTTTAAAAGATGTCCACGTGATTCATTGTCTCTACATTCAACTTGAGAGCCACTGGGTGCCACTGATTTCTTTTTGTTTCCTATTTTAAACTTTAGATCCCAAATAAATAAGTTTAAACATGTGGGGTAGTGGTGTGAATTGCATATTAGAATCATAAAGGGGATCTTTTAACACTCTGAATGCCCCACCACATACCACACAGCCAGGATCACTGAGACACACCCCCACGCCCAGCATCCATCTGCATATGTAAAGCTCATCAGCTCCTCAAAGCACTGCACCTGCAGCCAGCACCTGAGCTTGAGACTGTGCCCAGGAGGGGGGTGGGGGAGGGGGAGGGATGGCCTCCATGGGGGGTCAGAAACACTGGCCCCCTGAGAGGGAGTGGTACTTGGAGGCACTCTCTGGCTTCTGGTGGAAATTATGGGATCTTGGGTTATAATTGAAGGAATGGAGGGGGTGGCTGAGCAGGGCTGGACTGGCCTGGGCGGGCACACCCCCCCCACCCCCACCCCCGCCCCCCCCCCCAGAGTGCAGGATGGGTTGAGGAGGAACAATGTGCATTTGGGGTTGATTGGATGATGGGAGTGGTGTAGCCCAGGCTGATTGGATCTGGAGCACCAGGAAATGAGACATCTATTCCTGGAAACCTGTCATTGGGTGGTTGAACTGTGACCCAGGCTGTGATGTCTGTTAATCCTTGAATCCATTTGCTAAAGTTGAATCTGTGCGGGCTCTGACGTATGTAACGGCCAACAAGGCTAATATATTCCCTGACTTTCCTTTGGTCGGGGTCTTGCGTGAACCTGCGTGTCCTGCAGGGAACGGCTTGACCCTGGCTAGCCAGCCCAATAAACTCTACTTTGCAAATTGCGTGACGCTCTGTCTTTCGCGGTAATCGAGTTCTCGGACCCTAACATAATGAAATGTTTGAACCAGGAACTCATACTAACTAAGCATTTCTACACTAATTTAATACTCCCTCTTCTCAAAATCCCAATAATGTTTCCCATTACCCTCCAGGAGCACGGAACCTCCAATCCTTTCTCTAGGCCTTTTCACTGTGCTTGTCACCCAACCTTCAGAAGACAGTCTTTGTTTTAAATGGTGGTGTCACTGGGCAGAATGCATTCCTAGCTTCATTTAAAGATGAAGAAATGGATCATGTCCCCTCTCAGGAAGCTGGTGTGCATTCTTCAGCCCACAGCCAATTAGGTCAGAACAAGAAACAATAGACAGGTTTCAGATTCTCTTCCTGGAAGCTTCTCCCATGCTCTCATCTGTATCAAAGTTCCTGTTTTGTGACAGCTAGCGAGGAATCTAACCTGGGGTCCTAGTGCTCCTTGGGGTTGCTTTTGTGGAGGGGCAAGTGGGATCTGTTGGGAGCTCTGGCTTCAGTCTACCTAAAGAATTCAACTTTTGTTCTGCCACTATTAGCTTGGGATCACAACAAGTTATTTAATCTCTCTTTTAGTTTCTGAATCTATAAAAGTGAACATCAAAAATATCTGCCTCATAGGGTTGTTGTGAGAATTAAACAAGATCATGTGAGTTGTTTTCAAAGTAATACTCTGCTAATCAACAGGCTATTGCTGTCGTCTGGCTGCTTGCCATCATGGGAAGAACAGCTATACATATAAGGAAGATATTACGCAGAGAGAATTATTTTGTACTAGTCATTGGAAGGAAAAATATATTATTGCACAGCCTACTATATGTTATGTGTATCAGTGTTCTGCTTGTTTACAGGAATGCCTTTTATGGGAAAGGAACCTCTGGCATAGAACTCAAATTTTCCTGGTCCTTTATAAAATGACTATTCAGGCTATGAGATTTATAACAGAACCTCCTAGCGATAAGAACCGAACTTGAGGTCAGAATGATATATTATTAATAGTTTACCACCATCCAAGTGGACTTCCATGAAGAAGTCATGGAGTTTGTTGAGTGCATGGAAAGGCTAAATTGCTAATGAAACAAATCGAGTTGAAACCTTGGACTAAATCCCTCTTAAAAATAGACACTTGGGGGAGGGAAATAAATGCACGGGACTATGGTGGTGGCACAGGGGTGATTTGGTGATGGGAAAACCGTGGGGATTACAATTGAGATGAAAAAAAAATGTGCAAAATGATGTAAAAATAAACTTTTTAATAAAAAAAAAAACAACTAAAAAAAATAGACACTTGGAATTTGTAAAAGTGTCACACTTTGTAAATCTTTTATATGTATAATTTATACATACTGAATACTCAGCAGTATTCTGTCTGCCTCTCTCCCACACCTCCAGACTTACATCCTGGAGTATTTAGTGAAATAAGCAGTCCAACCCCTGCTCCTAACCTGTCTGTGGAATTGAGTTGAATTACACAGCACCTCAGAATTTCAGAGAACTAGGACAAAGAGGAAATCCCACAGGTTTTCAGAAAGGTAAA